TACATACATATACACACATACACACGTACACAAACACACATACATATACATATACCTATACATATATATATATACAGATACAGATACAGATACAGATACAGATACAGATACATATACATATATATATATACATATATATATATATCATATCTCATATGCCTAACACAAACAAGAGAAACATGGAGAGAAGGAGTGAGAGAAAGATACCAGACACACACACACAACACATTGATAGATGCGCACATTCTACATGCAATGAAATCTTTTCTGGAGGCCTTGAGATCCGCTGTCGAGCCACCCAAACAACTAGCATCCTGCTACACCAACTTTCGTCAATGCTTTCCGTCTTATATAGTGCCAGAATCTACCAGCCAGACTGTCGGCATTCTACTTCCTTCGACTTCCGCACAGCTGCTAGACCAAGAAAGTTTCAAAGGTCTCGTTTCGTGGTTAATGAAGAGCCACAGCTTCAGCTCAACCGTAACCGTCTCCAGACCGGAACCGCTAGTCTAGGCCAAAATCCGCCAAAGTCTATTTCTATGCTTTTCTATGATTGGAATCAGGAAAGCTGAGCTAGTCTGAAGTGTTGCCGTGGGACAATCTCAAGACTCATCAAACATTGAGCTGTTGCGAAGCTAAGATCTTCCAGCTTGGACCTGGGCACATCCTGACGATCGGGTAGAGCAGCACGGATGTCTTCAAGGACGGGAAACCTTGTCTTGATTCTTGCCCTGTTTCCCGTGAACACTTTCCCTCTCTCTGCAGCTGCGAGGAGCATGGACGTCAAGTCGGACTCCTTGTATGGAAAAACCTGTACAAAGGCTAGCAAGGCAAGGAGGTATTCGCTAAGAATCAAGAAGCTCTCGGAAAGTCACGACAAGTCAGCGGAAGCAACACAGCTGCTAGGCTAGGAGTAAGCCTTGAAGTGGGCTGCTCCGCCGGAGGCTCCTGCCATGCCTTGGCGTCAGACCGAAATCACAAACGAACACTAAGAACTCGACTAGACATCATCGGATTTGCAAGCCTTACTGGTAGCAAAAGAAAAACAAGGAGGTGCAACAAAATGAATTCAACCTAACCGTGCCGGGGACCCCTTTGACCCAAGATAAACAAGCTGACAAGCATGTCTTATTCCCCTTTGGGTTTATCATGATTTATGTTAACACCCAAATCGAACAAGCTCTGCAGCCGCTGCAATTGACGTGGCTTCCCGTGTTGCAACCAACGTACACGAAATCCGCCGTGAGATGGCATCCACACCTTGCGAAAAAGGACAGCTTGAGGTTTCTTGCCACACCGGTGTTCGCCTGTCAAACTCCCGGCCACTGTCACTGGCATGGGTACCTGGTGAGAGAAACGTCTCATCTGCCAGGATCCATGTCTCGATAGCGCCATCTTCTGCGGCCTCGCGTTCGCACACCCGGGACGCGCCGGGAACAGCCCGGGCGATCTTGGGCTAGTCGGCTTACGCTCCGATAACCTACTTGAACAGATTTGAGGCGGGGCTTCCAGGCTAGGTTTCCACAAAGAACCCACAAACACGTCAAGCATCAAGTGCCCACATCTGCCCTGTTCCTCGTTTTAGCGACTTCTAGGAGCTGCCAGGAACTGTGAAGTGCCACAGTAAAGCCCTCGACCCCAGACTGACACAGTTTCGTGAACTTTGCGCAGGTTCAGGCCCTCAACTCAGCAGACGACTTCGAAACCCCCTTAGAAAGCTTCAGGGTCAAGACCCCGAGCCAGCCGGAGGAGCAAGCTACCAAACATCCCAAATCAGTGAACCCTATATGCCATCAACCATTGCAAATCAACCCCTGAACCCTCGACTGCTTGGGCCCAGGGCTTCCCTAAACCCTATAGACTCTATGCCATCGAACGCCTCCTGGCAAAAGCAGGTGAACCCCTGGGCCTGAAGCCGCTTGGCCCAGGTCAGGTGCCTCCGGACCATCGCCTGGCGTTGCTGGGCTACATGACCTCATATGTATATGTATAGGAGTATAATTCAGTGCCGACGTATAGAAACAGGCAAAAGTGAAAGATCGATGACGACGGACGTGAGCACGTAGTATCTGCATGTGTTTTGGCATCTCTGTGTGTGTGTGTGTACATGCATGCACGTATGTTATTGTACTTTATTTTGCAGGCATTTGTATGTGGCTCACAAGGTCATAGCGTTTTTTCTCTTTTAATTTTCCCAGTCAAATTGAACGTACCGTTTTTATTATGTGAACCTGAAGCTGTACAGGACGTGTGCCTGTATGGATGGATGGCTGAAAACTGACCAGGTTTAGGAACTCCCTTGCGCATTGCCAACGCCACTAGCTCCTGCAGCGACTTCCCTTATGGGTCACACCGTGAGGTCAGCGCCCTTTCATTTTGCAATCCTCCGCTTCATGCTCGCGGCAGCTTGGCGTAAACACCAGATGTGCCCTCAACCCTACACTGCTCTACACCCCCTAATACCTGGCAGGCAAAGGAATGGGATAGGAGTCGCCACCCGTGGAAGAACCGAGGGGTCGCCCTGGGAGGTAGAAGCCCAAATCGACGGCCTCTGGAGCTACTTGGAAAGCACCTTTCATTCCCCAGGACTCACCCCAGGAATTGATGGCCAAGATATATCCGGGCCCAAAGCCCATGCCTGTGACGGCATGTCCTCCAATTTTGCGGTTGTAACTCTTGCGCAGAGGCTTGTATATACCAGACTTATAGGCCTGGAAGTCCTGGTAGATTCTCATTCCTAGCAAGATTGGGCCCTCCGTCATGAGTGCCTTCTGGACCATGTGGGGCACCTGAGAGCCTCCAGAATGCAACCTCCTGGGCTCGTACTGAACATAGAAAAGGTCCTGACTCAGCGGTCGGGGATACTTGCTGTACGGAGAACACGCGCCCGGGCAGCGAACCTGAGTGTCGTAGGGCAGCACTTGCGGGTAGCAAGTCTGAACACCGGCCAGCATATTTCCTTCGGAGTCCGGGCCTCCTGTAGGGACTCCCCAGCGCGAAACCGTCTGGAAGCCCAGCAAGCCGCCAGCAGCTCCGCAGTAGTTGCGGCCATCGGTCCTGCACGCTGCGATGAAGGACTGGCTCAGCCAAGCTTGTGGGCCGTTGAACTTGCCGCGGGTCTGGATGCAGAGCCGACTCTCCGTGATCAAAGCAGTAGCATGGCTCCAGCAATTATCGCATGTCTGGGAGCGCACGTGAGTCGTGACATTCTTGCACTCGGGCCAGTTTTCCCTCACGTCAAAGGCCTCGGAAAATGCCGCCTTACCAAGCTCCTCCGCACTGAACTGCTTCATGTCCTCTTGGACCATCTTCAGAGTTTCCTTCTTCATATCTTCTTCTTCCTCTTTGGGTAAGACGAAGCCGAGCTTGCTCTTGAAATCCTTAACTGATATCTTGATGAAAGACGAGTCGTACACCGCTGTCCAGCTGGCGGCGCCTGTCTGATTCAACTTGTTGACCTCCTTCGTCAGGGACTCAGGGATTATCGGGCTCATATCCATGTAGCCATTCTGCAGCAATTGCTTCCAGCTGGAATACCGCTCAGACTCGGTGCTCTTCGTGATCACTCTCTTAGAGCCTCCGACGACCAATGCCAGAAAACGATCTTGAAAACTCTTCACCTCCCTTGTGGTCAAGGGCGGGACGGTCTCGTCCATTCTTGCTTGGAAGTGCAGCTGAAGGAAGACTTTCCTTGAAGACTGCATCACAGCCTTTGTGCAGCGACTCGGATCGCTGATCTTGGAGCCGCAGCTGGCCATCACTGCGTTGAAGTGCAAGTCAAGCGAACGCCTCCTCGTCGGCTTGCTCTTCACCACCATCGGCGTTAGGGGCGAAGGTCTGCTTTTTTCATTCTGCTCGATGACGGCACTGTGCTTGGCACCGCCGCCTTCGAAGTCAAAATTTGGGGAAGGAGCAGCACTGGCTTTAATCGCCTCACGGTATTCCTTGACTCTTTGCATCTGCCTTTGCAGAAGATGCAAAGAACTCTCATCTTCCTCCTCGGTGAGCTCTGCTGTCCAGAAAGAAGATTCATCCTCCGTTTTGCAGGAGGGGCAGGAGCCAGTGGACTCAGGCACTGCAGCACGCAGGAGTGCACAATGCACCGCCGCGAAAAACAACTGCGACGCCGTCATGCTGGCAAACGCTTTGAAATGGAATCTGGTAGAGGCTTGAGCCGCGGGGCTCTTGTTTCTGTTGGAGTCGGAATTCTTGATGAGCGTGGAGTTTAGGCAAACAGTGCAGGGCTTTTCAGGAACAATTACCCCTGCCCAACCAACACAGAGTCCAGGCACAGGCACGACCAGCCAAACCACAACCGAGATTGCCGCGAATCCTACTACGCAGGGAGCTGGGCACCAAACCGCAAGTTCAACATGCAGAGTCAAGTTCGATGGCAGAATGAAGCCTTGGATGCATTGGAAGTTGTATCGGAACTTTTCGCCTTTCATTAGACTCCAGCCTGGGAGGTGCCTCCGTGCACACGGATAACCACAGCTGTGCCTGGAGAGACAGGGCCAGCAGGCAGCAGGAGCTGTGGGTCCCAGGATGTCAAGAAGGTTTGAAGGATTCAAAATTCGGCGCTCGCAGCTCGGACAGTTTGGAGGGGTTCAGGACTGAGGGCGCTGTATATGCTAGTATAATTATGCGGCACCATATAGGACCCAGCAAGATACCAAGATAGCACTGGCTCTCATGACGGCCCTGAATCTGGTCACTGAACAAGTCCGACAATCTCCCCCGACAACCTGTCCGAGACGAAACAAGCAGCTTCACGTCACCTCCTTTCGCAGTCCCGCAACAAAGAACCCCTCAGCCGCTGTTGCTGATGTTCTTCTTCTGGGCAGTGCAGCTTTAGGCCACTAGCATGGGGATTCTAATTATGCTTACACTCGCTGGTGAAACCATCCACAGCCACCCTGCATCTTGAACTTGAAGCCGCCGAATGATGGTGGTATAAAGCCGAAGAAGGCCTTGACACGGCGAAGGTTGCAGGCCTGGCTGCGGCAACGAAGTTGTCCTGCGCTGTGAGGAGTCGCATAGCTCGAGCAACTCTAGTAATTTTCGGCGGAATTCTGAAACCCTGCAAAACGATTAAATACTTCAACTTCGCTTTGCAGCTAAGAGGTTACAGAGCAAAACCAAAACAAAGCCAACAAACAATTCTGGAAAGGATCATCACAACTTCTGTGCCTAACAGCCAGATGACCCAGAGGAAAGCTGATGCTCCATGTGGAGCCCCTGAGAACACAAGATACAGTAAACACGTATTGCACAGCAGCATAATCGTAATGGCATGTTGCGCACTGAACTGGTGACAAGTCGGCTTGCCTCCCGCGCTTAAGGCTTACGGCATCGTTTGCCCTAACAGGTTTTCACGACGCGCCCGCGCCCAGCGTTTTGGAACTTTGGCACCTGCGTAACTAAAGTTTGGATGAACTAGAGTCTCACGGCATCTGCCTTTCCGGCTGTGGCATCTTTCTCACTATGCAGAATTGGGGTTGATTGACTTTTGCTTTACGCTCCCGCCACTCTGACTCCGCCAGATTAAGTCCTGTATCCTCAACCCAAAGAGCTTCGTTGCCGGTGTTGACTCATGAACCCAACAATTTCGGGATTCCAAACTGGACCTGAGCACATCCGCAATTCTCAGAGGCTCCCAGAAGCGGGATCTTCTTTGGAAGCCATGCCAGCATCTTAGAGAGTGCGGCTTTGTAACTCAATGTGAGTGACTTCATGACTTCATGACAGCCTACACACTGCCATCTCAGCGTAAGACCAGTACCATGTCCCAATTTATTCTTGCAATGTTGTCCGAACAATGCCCCATTGTCATTACCATGGTTCACTTGTCGACACTGCGCTGAAGACCCAGAAGCTTCCGGGGTGGTGTGCTTTATTGTCTGGGCTTCTGCCTATTTTTCTCTCTATAGACATTTCCTCAGATATGGGGCCCGCAATGTGTGATTTTGTATCTGTATCATGTCTACAATGCCTCTCTCTCTCTCTCTATATATATATACTTATATATTTATTTAAGTGTTCATCTTGCTTGTTTTTACTATATGCGTAGAAAGATACAAGGCTTGGGGCTGCGGGTCCCTCTGGATGCTGGCCTCCTCTGTCCTGGCCTTGCACAGGGCCACCGGGCTCGGCGTGCCGCCATGTGCTGTCATCAGCTACACAAGTCGCTTTGAAGACCTTTGAAGCTTAAAGTTTACGCAAACATACTACCTTAGGTTGGAAGCCTATAGAGACACTGTGCGCGGCGGCTTAAGATTTCGGGTGCAAGTGCCGGAGTGATTCTGTGGACATTTGATGGTCGGCTTCTGTGACGTGCTGACGCTGGAAGCAGTTTCGAAGGCTGCTGAAGCTTTCGGAGCAGAAACAGCATCAGTTCTGCCGTGGCAAACCATGCCATCATACATGTACACCTCTGATCATGTAGTTCGCACTAGCATGCTCTCCAACATGATTGAATGTTCACTTCTCAAGCGCGGGAAACAGGAAACGGCCTCCAGCAACCAAGCGGTAAGTGAGAGAGGTTTGCCAACTAAAACGACTGCATAATAATCTGATATCGTCACAAGGTCAGATTCGTGTAGGTCAAACGACGCCAGTACGAGGCCACGGAGGAAACTGGAGCCTTGCCCGCATGCTCGAAGCCCTCGCTAACGCAAATGAGCTTCATCATGATCCGCTCCTGGCAGAGCAGCTTCCAAGGCAACGTGCCTTTCTGGATTGAATCATGACCAATTGAGAGGCCTAGCGCAGAAATCTGCATGTGCCGAAGCTGCAGCACTGGCCAATTGCAAGTCAATTGTCCAAGCAATGTGCTGTGGCAAAGCTTATGGAGACAGTGATTCTGTTCTTGGAAGGGCCTGGCAACGATCTCTTTTGCACCTGTGGGGCTCGATCGAAGGCTTCACCAAGGCCCGCCATCGAATTGAAAGCCTGTGTCATTCTTTCAACTGTTGGGCCCTTCCCGTCGTCCAGTGACCTCTCAGCCGTCTGCGCGCAAGAACTGTGAAGCACACCTCCTTGAAGCACCTCTTCCTGACGGATTGCCAGTCCTTTCGCCCAACAGGCGTTCTCGTCACGTATCAAGCTGGTCTTGTCTTTCCAAACTGTCACTAGATCACGACCTAGCCCAAGGCAAGATGACTACTAACCTGCCCAGACTCTACTTTCCAGCAGCTCGCCAATCATCATGTGCCGATGGTCGTCGAGGACGCATCCCCGGTGTAGATCCTGCTACCGTCTTTGCTCGTGCCGATCCCAAACACGCCCATGCTGCTCATTGGGCAACCACCGCCACCACCTGGGATGTTTTGAAATTACGGTCATTCAACAACAATCCGTCATCCATGCGCAACGGGCCGAAGTTCAGACGATCAGTGGCAAGAAAAACTCTCTGTGAGGCTTGGTTGGGAGACAGGCTCGAAGGATGTATGTCTCTGAATATTGGGGGGCGGGGTCTTTTTTTTTAAAAGCACCTTTTTTCCACTTGGGTATTTTGGACTTCGCACCCTCAAGTCCCACCTGGCCGGCTTCCGAACTTGGGCGCGCCCGGCGCGTTGCGCAACCGCTCCTCCTCCTCGTGGTTATCTGGGAGGAGAGGCCTGTATGAGGTTCACTGTCGGGCATGGTCTCGACTTACAGACTCGGCACTTCCAGGAAAGGAAGCAGCACAACTAGTTTGGAATCCGCAGACCAACCCTGCCGGAACTGTGTAAAGAGAACAGGTAAGGCCGCTTCTTGTCTTAATGATTCTCATTAATTCGGTCAGCTTCCAAATAGAAGGCGACCAGTGAAGGGGACCCTAGAGAGCGAAGCCGAATTCTGGAAACTCAGATTGCCTTGCTCTATGGCAAAGTGGAATCCGTCTCTGGGATGCTAAACTAGGCACTTACCAAACTACCACGAAAACTGGGCTCCCCGCAAAAATAATCGAATGTTTAGGGTCGAAGAGTTAGGATTATTGCAAACGATTGCCATTACCACGACTGCTCCTACTACAACAACGACGATGACGCATGGTCACGACTAGTCTTGGTAGCGTTGCGACCTTTCTCTGCTCATTAGCACCATTTCAATGTTTAGGTTCGCGTGGCTGCAATTTCCAAATTAATTCAAGCTCTTAGTCAACTCGAATGCCGGGGTTTTATCACTTCGTACTTCACTTTGCCAGCCTCTTCGGTGTAGAGATGCTTCGGGCGAAGTGGAAATCCATGCCTAACTGGGAAACAAAGAGGTCTCTCAGACTCAGAGGTTGCGTAGTCATAGTCCAAACATGAAGTAGATCAAATCTGACACTCGTGCAAAATTTTTAGTCAACTTTAGGAACCGTGCCAATGATGATGTGGACATTCTTGTGAAGTCAAGCAGCTGGTTCAAGCAAGGATTCTTTCGCTCGCCCTTTTCAGCCAAATTGCCTGGGCTGGTGGGAGAAGCACGTAAGAGTAAGATCTCGATAATGGTGGAGTGTAAACGTGACGATAATTGCATATTGCACAAATGGGCACTGTGGAAAGGAGCTGCAAGGAAAGCATCCATCAAAGCAGCTTCAACACTGTTTCGTACTCCGGAACTCACGCTCATACGCCCAGTCGCTTCGCTGGGTTTCTCTCTCCCGCTCTCGCTCGTCCTTCACACCTCTTGGTCCTGCCAATCCTCCTCCTCCTCCTCCTCCTCCTCTTGCCAACGCTCCTTCTGACTAATTCTTATCCACTCTCTGCTCATGCAGAAAAGTCACCATAGGTGTTCATTCGTGGCGGTTCGGGGAGTTTCGTTGACGGCTTCGCTCCAGCAGCTAGCAGCATCTTCTCGATCCTCGGATGCCTGGCCCATAATGTCATGCAGAGTGTTGGCCAAACCTACATGATATGACAAAAAAGCCATGGTCACATGTTTGCAAGGTTCGATTAATACTGCAACAGACATAACACGACCGTCTTGCGAAAAAACAGCAGACTGATGCTGGCCTGTAGCCACAAACATTACTGTAGATGTTTGTACACATCCTTAGACACACGCACATGTTATATACAAATATACAATTATATACAGTATACATATAGAAAAGAACGAGTATGATTACCAGAATTATTGTTGGCCATGTATTCTTTGTGTTACTAGGGCCGGCCATTCTTACAAATTATTGCTCAATGCTGAGTCCTGTTCCTAGTTTTTAGAATGTACATATATATATATGTAATTATACACACAAAAATATATATACATATATAAGTATTTTAAGTATGTCACTGCGATTCCTACATACCTTCCGGCCTCGGCTGCTTCTGCTTCTCAGGATCCCGCTCGAAGGGCAATGTGTCCTTGGTTTCGTGTTGATTTCCGATGATTCACAAATATTAGCTAAATCGTTTTTTGGCTAAATCGGGTTTAGAGTTCAGGCTTTCGACTTCACGGTTTAAGACGTTATTGCCGCCTACTGGTCTAGCAGGCTTTGTACGGTCGGTGTGGTACAGGGGGTTTAGAGTTCTAGGGTGTGTTTACAAAGCTTCCATTTGATTCTGTCGGGTTTACATGTTACACATGCGAGGTAGGTTCGGCTACAAACGTACCATGATGCTCTAGAATGCTCTATATGTGTTCTGACAGAACTAGAACAGAGCCGAAATGAGCCAAGACTCTCCCGTGCGTGCAATGTCCAAGGCTGTCCAGAAGCTGTATGGGCCACTAGCTGTGCAGCAGCAACAAACCACATTGACGTCCGCCCTATTTTCCAGTAAGACCTGCAGAGTTTCAGTGCGCTGGGTTGTTTTCGGCAGCCCAACTACTGGTAGAAACCCAAAGCCCCTACAATTACGCTGAAGGCTACAGCAGCGATGCCAGGAACCTCGAGTCTTGTTCTAGGCAGCCATAGAGAGGACAAGCACACAGTCTGCAGCCAGGGCGGCTCCTCGTGTCTACCATTTTATGTACTCTTTGACAAACCGTGAACATGCGGTTCTGTCATGTCAGTTCTCTTTGACAAACAGTAAGCATATGGTTCAACACACGGAAGGATCAGATAGGTGCACAGAAGCATTTTTGATTTAGATGCACTGTTGTGCACCGTGCCGTGATACTTGTAGCTTCAGTGTCGATCCGTCCAAGGCAAGATCACGAGTTCTCATGCGATGATTGCTTTTTTTCGCTGCAGGCTTGCAAGCAAGAACGTCTGGTATGTGATCATTACTACGACTGGCAATGTATGCGGGGACGTTCAAACAACAATCGTGTGATGGACTGACACCCTACAAACCCTGGTGACTGTGAAACTCGGTGCCGTGTCGCCTTCGTGGCCTCCGAGTGACCTCCGGCCACGGCTGCCGTAAGGGGCGTCCAGTCGGTGCCATACATCCGGAAGGAACCTTCAGAGGGTTTACGTGAGGGCTTACGGTTTGTTTATGGCTACGGCATTCTGCAAATCACATGAAGTGTAGGAGCTGGCAGAAAGGCATGGGCGGCCAGGGCATGAGCTCACTTTTGCATGTCAGGTCCATAAAACAGCCTATCGAGCTTGAGATGCGGGCCTGGGTAGAAGCGGAATTCGCTGACAAATATGTTGATCTCACATCCTGCCGGCAACTGCGGGATGCAGGCTGACATGGGTTCCGAAGACAAAGCTCATGGGCTCATGAACCTCAACATGGAATCTCCAGATCACACATGCCCTTGCACACTTTACACCTCAACACCTCAGGACTCCGATCACGTGACACAGGAACGGCATTTGCTCATGCTGCGGTTGTTTGCGATCCTCTCTGCTATTTCTGTTACGAATCGAGGAAGATTGCCAGCCTTTCCAGGCTTCATGTTTAGCAGCACTGCCTAACAGTGTTTCAATCAAGGCTTCATGTAGCCGAAGGCCCAGGTTCGAACATCTCCACCCCGGAGGCTCTAGGCGCGAGGTTGTTTGAACGGACATGAACCGAAAGACCCTAGCATGCAAGGGAGGGTGGCCGTCCCAGGAGTGCGCAGAACAGAAACAACAGCAAGCGTATGGCAATCACAGGAATTGCAAAGGCACCGGGCCAAACGGAATGATGATGCGAGTAGGCGCGACAATGATGCAACACATAAGGCAGACCACAGCAACACGAGGGGTTTTTCCAAGCAGGCCTCCGACCTAAGCAGCACGGACTCCCGAACAATTGAATCAAATCTGAGGACCCAAAGCTCTCGACTGCCAAACGGGCGGGAAGCCTTCATGCTCGTGCTTTGCGATGAAACATGATGCTTTAGCATAAATCATCAGTGTCACTAATGTCGCCATCTAAGAACAGATCAACATCAGCAATGTGTTTATCATGACTGATTTGTGGTCAGTGGCTGCGTATTACGAAGTGGTGCCTGATGTTCTATGCTCTACCGCGGCCTTGACGCAGCTGGGCACTGATGGCCGCGCTGTCGCCCCTCTCCTTGCTTGAGTGTTCGGGCTTGGGGTTCAGATTAGGGTTTAGTAAGGTTGAGGTGGGTCATCTAGAGTCTAGAAGATTCCTGATGCCATTGCTTCTTGGACGTGCGCATGCTTTGAACAAACTCGCGCCAGTCTGCTCTTTTCATGAAGGCCGAACAATGTAAACCAACTACACGCCTAGAGCTTTACCTCCTCGACATCTATAAGCCTTAACCCCAAAGTATCAAAAGCGGAACCAGGTCTCGGCCAGGGGAAGGAGACTGGCATCCAAACGCCGAGATTGTTCCGAAGGGCCTCCCAAAGGATCTTGTTTTGTTGATCTTGCCTATGGTGACTTAGTATATCTTGTATACTACGTATGATCTAAGCCTAAGCTTATTTTATGCTGTACACGGTATATCGAAGGCTTGCAGACACCCGGATTCGGATAGGCCAACCATCTCGAGGTGAGGGTTTGGGGTATGAAGCAGGCACGCTAGAGCCCGCCTGCCGGTCTGCAATGTGGGAATCTTGCTCTTCAGGCTTCCACCACAAAATGTAAACTCTCGTGCACACAATCTGTAAGGAAGCAAGCTTGAAGGCACCATCCACAGAGTCGCTTACTTGTTTATATCTCTGGGTCCTGTCACAAAGCCCTACCCATCAGTCGCTTACTTGTTTATATCTCTGGGTTCTGTGACAATGCCCTACTCATCAAGGGGCTCCCGGCTATTTGGTGCTTTGAAGGGTTCGGCTGCATTGCCACATGTGAAGAAGCCTGTTTAGCAAAGCACAACCAATAAATCAAAGACCTGCTTCTCACCTGCGGGGTAACCGCCGAACACTTCAAATTAGCCCTGTACGGTACATGGGCATGAAGGCGTTGTTCACCCTTGATCTGATCTTCTGGCTAGTTGCATGTCGTGCAGACATATCGCTCCGTCTACTGGTTTACTGGCTTCTGGGATACCTACATAAAACTAAAGCTGCAGAACAGAAAGAGACTTCTATCTTGTCCACCTCATTATCTGTGGCCACCTCCAGAAAATAGAAATCGACAGACTTTTAACTCCTCGCAGTGAAGATGTCGGAACAGGGATCGCATCCTTGCGAAACTAGCAGGTCGCGTATTTAAGCTATCTTAAACTGCAAGAGCCGGATCCTCCTCGGAGCTTGAATTCGGTTGGTCACTCCACTAGGGTTTGTTTCTTGCCGTGAATTCTTCCTAGTTCCGAGCCTTCGGTAGCTTGGGCTCGGCCAGGATCATCTTTGCCAGCCTCGGGCCCGCTCTCCTCACAGGGAGGCTCCTCCCAGGGCCGCAGGCCCAAGTGCAGTTGAGTCCTGGGCCATGGCTATGTCAGTGACTCTGTCAATGCCACTTATACTTTTTCTCTGCAGGACCTCACCCAACCAAAGGTTTCGACCATCCACAACCTGACGAGAATACCCAGCAATACGCACAGAGATTCTGGAGTTGCACCGCCCCGCGCAACAGAATCAACGGGCAAACCTGCAGACCACACAGGCATTGCGAACGCTGGACGAGCTTACCTTTCTTATACCGGCAAACCCGTAGCACAAACAACAAACTTACACACATGCGCACACTCACAAGAGCGGCCTAGTATCTTTGATGATCCACTGTAGCCTTTGGTGACCGGCACCCTCGGAGGCGTGCTGCTGCTGCTGCTGCTGCCGACTTCGTCCAGCTCCCAGGGCAACTTGGGACCATCATCGGTGATGACGAACATAATGTGTGCTTTCGTAGTCATTCTGTGGGGGGTTCTTACTTGGAGCTTTGAGAACTGAAGACAACTGTTGGTATCAGCTGCCAATGACTAATGGGATGTTGCTGCTAGTTGCTGGTTGCCAGGTGTGTTGAATATCTGGCTGGGGAAGCACCATTGCCGGTCTTCCCAGCTGATTCTCTTACCATCCTGCTGAGGCTCTCGGCTGAAGGAGAAGAGAAGCTGCACAAGCATTTTACGATGCCAAGCACATACATGGTCTGTCACAAGAAACGGAAGCTTCCAGCAGCTTCACTGTCGTCCTCGTCCCCACGGCCGGTTGGCATTGTGTGCTTCATGGGCTTGAACCTGTCCATCATGCGAGCAGCCAGCACGCTGCGGATATGAGAGATACGGCAGGTTAGGAAACCAAAAGCCGATGCTGACTCTCAACTATCTATCGCCCTCGAAGACAGCAACACGAGAAGGCCCGGGCTTTGTCACGTAGACGTCGACACTGCCATACTTTGTAGCCGCAGCCGCCTCTCAGCCGTTTCTTCGGCTTAAAGCAATCTAGCTTCAGAGTTGAAACTTCGTCATGAGGGCAACACTAAAAAGCACTTCATGCTACACCTCCGTCGAGCATCCGGACAGCTCTACCCACAGTCCGCTCTCCATGCAAGAAGAAGCTCAGCAACTTTTTTGTGCATTATCATGTCCCGAAACCCTTCAACGCATTAAATTAGCGGCTCGGGGTTTGCTGCGCCACCTCCGTGAGCCCGCAAGTGCCGCAGGGCGGCTGACTGAACACGGCACCTGGCTGCAGGTGCCGGGGGTTTCCATGCAATGCGGGAGCTTTGGAAGGGTGTCTAGAGGGTCCTACACAGCGCATAAGATTGTAACATTCTAGCACTTCAGTCTGGCTCCCGCGAGCATGAGGAACGAGAAACGCTCTACAGGCTGCTGTATGGTATGTCGAAGGACGGACGGGCCTGGTCAGGGGATGGTTTGGGAGGTGGGAGCATTCAGCTTTCTGCAGGCAGCTGTCATCCAGAACACCCAAGCACAACTAGTCCGATGCTGCGAAGTAGTCATTAACTGGCATCAGAACTCCGAACACAACGCTTGCATAGCATTTTCTTTCAACACTAAAGGGTCAATTTCCAAATCCTCCCTCTCACGTCACAGGGATGAACACCTTACAGCGGCCACAAGCACCGTCGGATCTTCCAGAAACAAAGCTCTATTCATGCCGAGGGCGGAGCTAGGCACGTTCTCATAGTCAGGCACTGCTGGGCCCTCTGCCAAACAAAGAGTCTAGGAGTGATTCAAGCAAGTCTGCCACATAGTATCCTAAACCTGATTCTGATAAACTCCTATATCGTTGCGCAAGCATTGACTCATCTGCTGTAGAAGGAACCGTTAGACAAGCCGAGTCGTCTCTCAAGCAGCAAGCGGGAAACTGACACTCTGCAACTGTGAAAGCAGGAGGCTCGTCAAGATGTGCAACAGTCGCCACATTTGCTGCGTCCTTTTCTGGTCTACATATTAATAATTACATAGAGGAGACGAAGAGCGTGAGAGAGAGAGGCAGAGAGACAGTGAAACTACTAGACTCAGTTGCGTCGTGTTGCGCCGTTCGACAAGGGTTTGTGCAACCAGCGTGTAGCTTGCACACGAAGCTGTACCAGAAATTGACCTCCCGCGATACAGGCAAGCGAAGAAATGATAATCAGCTTACAGCTGTCATGGCCACCCCGAAGCCGTTGGTGTCAGTAGGTCCTAATTACTGAGAGTTACCACAGAGCTCGCAGCCTGAACACAGCTGCCCTTACCGCAGATTCCCAAAGATATCATATTCATTATCCCTTAGGTCTCTGAGGGGCTCCTCGCCAAACATGGTCTTCGCCATGGCCATGCCCTCCATCAGGGCCACTGGGGTCAACTGGATCCGGTCAGTCACATCCTTGGGACTCACATGAGGAGTCGAATGTGCCGTTGCTTCGTCGGTACTGACTGTGTGCTGAGGGGTCCAAAACCTGAGAACACCATGCTTGTGCCGGCTCCTGTCACGGCACTGTCTGCATAGGTTGAAGTTAAAAAAATTACACTGCTGTCTTTTGCGCGAGATTTACGGTGGTGATGCAGATTCCCAAAGCTCCAGGCCTAGCCTTGCAACTGGGCCAAACCTGCCGCGCGGTAAACAAGCCCCGGGACTGAACTTTCGGATTTCGGGCGCAGAGTCCCGGATCTGAATAGGCACAGTTGAGATGAAGATCGAAACATTGATGTTCGAAATGCCGTTCAGGTTCATGGCACCGGGTTGGCAGGATGGCTCAACGACGAGTTCTGGATGCAAATGTGGTTACTTTCGCCTTTCTTCACTCGACCGGGCATTCTGATTTTAGGAGCGCGAAAGCAAACGACCCGGGAAAAGAGCGCTTACTGTACGACGGAGATCGAAGAGAAGGACCCGCGCAGCAAAAATCTGCAAGGTCCCGGCGCCGATGGCGAAGATGCTGTCTACATTGGTGCGGCTGTTCTCATCCACGAAGATCTGCGAAGCGAGATGGAGACATTGACAGGCCCAGGCCCTACTTAGAGCCGGCGGCAAGTAAGAGCACCCCAGCCCATTCCGATCTGAAACCACTCAGCCTTAAATCCACATCGCCACAAGGACATCGGGCCTTGCCGCTCTTGGGGTCCGTCTTGACACCCGCCTCCTCTAAACCGAGGTCCTGGAAGTGCCAGGCGCCGGCAACCAGAGTTAGATTCTCTCTGGACTTTTCGGTCATCAGCACTCACCCTCGGACTCCCTAGTCAGGCATGTTCGAGGGTCCCCTCAGTCTGAGAGATGCCAGTAATGAGACAAACGAGAAGAACAAGCGGGGCCTGAGTAAGGTCAGGGGGTTTGAGCCATGGTTGAGCTTTTCGGGCTTAGTCAGGATGATAGGCACCGCAAGCAAGTCCCCAAACTTATTTCCCCAAAAAATCCAGCGCAATGCCGTGTCCTTGCTGCTGGGCTTTCTTCCGGTAGCGAACATGACCTCACAAGTTCGCAATGAATTGGCTTCGGGTTTTGTGTACGACTTGCACTTACAGGTTGTGATTGTTGATTAAGTTTAAGGTTGCATTCTTGGCTTGTGCGTCGCCTGCATGCCCATAATGGGCAAGGCCCACGCAAACTCCAAGGCAATAAAATGCACGGCGAGAAACCAGGGAACTGTTGGTTGTCCCTTGCTAACCTAGCCATCCTATGCCCCTATGCCACACAAAAGGTTTTACACAGACCTTAAAAAGACGGCTTCTCGATTCTCAGCGCGGGTCTCCTACGCACTCAGAGCACGCACACACACACACACACTGAGAGACTGTTTTCGAAGCGAGCCCTTCCAGGTGAAGCGTGGCGCTCCTGGCACAAACCAGATGCCGTGTACACGGCAGAACAACGGTTCAGGCTTTCCGGACTGGTATTCGGAGGAGGCGGAGGTGCAGTGTGTGAGTTAGCAGCAGCAGCAGCAGTAGTAGTAGTAGTAGCAGCAGCAGATAGGAGTAGCTGCAGCAGTACCAGTAGCGGCAGAAGGAGGCGTAGAAGTAGTTGTGTTTGAAGTAGTAGCAAAGCACGGATGAAATTGCTGCAGCAGGTGGGGCTGGATTTCCATAACGATAGCGAGGCAGTACTGTTTCGATGGACCTTCTGAGTGATGGACAGCAGTGGCAAGTACATGCAAGCATCATCTCCGTCGTGGTCGCAGTCACAGCCATTGCTTGATTGCCAGTTAACAGGCAACTTACGGCTCCGCCACTGTGTTTCCTAAGTTGACATTGTGCTCTACTGAGTCTACTGCTAGTCAATCGACTGACTCTGCTGGCAGGTCTCGCACGGCTTCAATAGCAACACCGAACCAGCCCAAAAACCCTCAACAGCACATCATCCGCAACTTAGAGCACACGAAGAGCACAAACCAAAGGCAAAACGGAACACATTAATGCGAAAACCCGCATGCAGCAAACGAGTCTCTAAATCAGACCTTCGCAGCAGCCGGCGCAACAACGCGATACCGTTCTTCACGGGTCACCGTGAGCCGAAGGTTTTCACCTGCCACCATGGTCCGAAGGTCCGAAGTGCGAAGCATAGACATCTCGGGTCAGGGCCTTATATAATTAATGCGCCAGTCGGGACTCTGAGGATATCTAGCCAGCAGATCTGACAAAGCGACATCGAATGCAGCAAATTGTCCGGTGTACGAGACTGGGATGTGCTGGGATCACCGGGACGCTCTGACTAAGGCTAGTTGATCACTTCTTCATCGGGAAAAAGCTTCAGACACATGTCACTCTCAGTCATCGATCAGCTCCAAAAACGGTCTCAGGCGTTGGTTGGTGCATCGAGTCAGCTCGCAATCCTGTCATAGTGTTTTGGTCGTAGGTGAGATCTGTCTCACATCAGCCATGCTCCCGACGGCCAAACCTCTACCCAACCAACCCAAGATGTCAAATGTCAAGCTGTGACCTCCATTTAGCTAAGAATCTTACCTTGGGGCCACAAAACTTTGAACATTAAGCCCTATAAGACTTTCAAAGGTTCCTCAAACCCCAAAGCCATAAACGCCTGACAACCAGCCCTGGACCCGACCAGTGGAGCCTACAAACTTCGGAAAAAACGACTTTCAACAGCCGTCCAACAGTTCCCAGCGACATTTGTCCAAGCCGAGGTCGGTTGCAAACCTCTGGGTTCCGAAACGCAGGCTTCTCAAAGGATACGGAGACTACCTAGGTGGGCTGCGAATTGGGGATTTAACAGGACCAAGCCCATGAATACCCCCAGGTCTGAGCGACTCACAGCATAACTAGCCCGACTGGGTGCTCCCATCTTCCAACTTCCAAGTTCTGTGCAGTCTGCATTGCTGCGTGGGTTGCTTCTGGCTGCTCAATTACATGCGAGCGAGGAGGGGCGACTCAGCAGTGTATGCTGGCAACCCGTGTCCTCACCTTCAGCACTTCACTGCACCTCAGGTTAGGCCCATCCCAATTGAATCTTATGAGTGTGCTTACCCGGTGGAACCCATTCCTTATCACTCACTTTTGCTCTGTCCATCAGGTCATCATGCTAATCCTGGTAGTCCTATATAGTTCTTGAATACTGTATCCAAGTGGCTGCAAGGATACGTCCGGTGGCTCCGACAGCCCGAAGCCAAGGAGCAGCTCGGACGCCGTGTCCACCTCTGCAACGTAATCATCTTTGAACCGTATCATATCTTTCTCTGACTCTCTCTCTCTCTCTCTCCCTACCCGCGCGCACTGCGGCGCCCCCGACTGTTGCGGCTCTCTCTCTCTCTCTCTCTTTCTCTCTCTCTCTCTCTCTCTCTCTCTCTCTCCGTGCGTATGAAACGGGAAGCAGCATATCGGTCTGCATCTTGGTGCGACTGTGACGTTGACACTGCTACGCTGTGAAGATTAGTTCAAGAATGTCACACTGATCAGGATTTGCCAGGTGTGCATTCTTTCGTGCCTGTCAGTTGGTACACCGGTACACTCCCATGCCTGCCAAAGATAAAACAGGGACAGCCTGGACTCTGTTTAGCCAGCCGGCTGCGAGCCACAAACGACGACCATAGTGACCCCAGTATGAACTCCAAATGCCCGGATCCTGGAAATCTGGGAAAAACTCCTAATGTCAAAGGCCACATCTCCAGACTTTCGTAGATTATTTCGCGGGACATCCTGCAAATTCCAATTCCCTTTCGCCCAGCCCAGGCACAAGAAGCCAAAGCAAAAGCCGCAAGTAAAGATGCAAATGCCAGCAACAACATCGGAACATGCATACACAAGTTTAAAATGGTAGTGACATGCATGCACACGCGTAGACATAGACAAATCCATACGCAGATTTTGTTCAGTCCGTAGACAAACGATATACGGAAGATGCTTTTGAATTTGGTCGCTTTCCGTTTGTTTCAGCTCGCAGGTGATCTGTCCGGAGGCCCCTGCGATTTCCTGCTTGTCCAGCTGAACGTGCGGCTGCCTCGTCCTCAACACCAAGATGGCGGCAGGGCTTCGACTCTGGAGACTCTCGCAGCTCGGAGCATCCAGGTGTGGTTCTGCAGTGTACCGAGACCGTGACCACTACCATCGTTCTCACAACAAGCGCAGCCGACGATTAAGAAGTGGCCAGTAGATGCAGTCTCAATATTTCATGGTTGACATCAAGCTCCAATTAATTTCCCATCAACCCCTCTCAGAGGATCTTAACCCTGAGCTCAGCCTATGTCAGACAGGAGCCTCGGTCTTGAATCTGACAGCCAAGTAAAGTACACAAAGGCATGGCCCCCGTGCCAGACATGTCTTTATGCTATGGGGTATTATATGGCTGAAACTGCACCGCTTCAAACTACGAACCTGCCCAGTGAAAAAAAACAGATGAGCAACACGAAAACCTCTCGTGATGATTCCCTGTTCTCTGCGCCATGAGCATGCACATCGTTCTGTTGGTCGCAAAAATTATCGCGCACCAAAAAAGCAGGTACACGCACCAAAAAGGACAGATTGCGCACCAAGAGCTTTGGTGCGCACCAAACAAACTGAGAACAAACTGATCTGAAGTGAGCAGATCTGATCTGAAGAAGCTTTGTCGTCTTTGCATCTGCACGCGGTATG